CTTTTAGTCTGGCCAATTTATCACCCATTTCACAAAAAAAAGAAAAAAAAGGATACAACACAATATAAATCGCTGTTACCACAACATGAAAAAAAAAAAAAAATGTCGGAAAAAAAAAAAAAACAAAATTAATTACATTTCCATTATTTATTTTTTTTTTCTAAACCTTTGGATAAATACACGATTAACTGTATCTGATAGAAATAACATTATAGCTTTTATCGTCCATGTTTTAGATTTACATCTTTAATTTTTTAATGGATATAAATGGTACATTTTCATATAACATGTAATATCACAACTGTGACTGCAACATTCTCCGCGATTCGAAAGTTTGAACAATATACCGTTACGGAAGTTTACAAACAAGTTTTGTATATTTCACGAAACACAGACGCAACTCCCCCTTTGCGATTGAGTACATTCGCCAAGTGTTTTGCGTGTGTCACGTGTTTCCCTTCATACGATTGATTTACACCGTTGTGTGTGCCACGTCTGAGTAACACCTTTTACGTTACTTCACCTCACACACCGTTCCCCCACCATTGCGTGAGTCACGAACTGGCAAGCGCAATTATTTGCTTGAACACATATAAAGCGGGATAATTTTGCGTCATCTCCGCTGACATATCTACATCGTCACATAATCGCTCAGTGGTGTAGTAAACCTTTTCACCTGCCCATTTAACAAAGAGGGGGTGGTCGTTATTCTCCATTTTTGAAGCCATTCAAATGCTTCCCCTGTTATTCACATTGTCCGCCATCCCCTTCATACCTCATTTGAGTATATTCTTTTTTACCCCTGTATATAAGTTGCGAAAAATACAAATGCATATTAAACCTGTTTAGTGATTCGTTACAAAACCTTTTTTGGCGTTATATCATTCGAACGCACACGTTTTTTTTGCTCATTTCAGTCTGCCTGTGTAGACGTACTGTGGCTTTTGAGTAAATACTCCTGGCAGAACCGTTCCCACAGGGAGTGAAATGTATGCATGTGCATGGATGTACAGTCCTGTGCACATTTGTATATGTATGCATAAGTGAGAGCTTATAGTAAAATCTTGCACATTGTTTTTATTTTGTATAATCTCACGAAATTAGAATAAGGCTTGAGAAAACGCACGTAAAAGTCTAAGTCTATTTTTTTCGTGTGTTTCGCCATTTGCGTGTTATTCTCCCACGCATTTGCGCATGCTTCTCGTTCTTTAAAGTACGTTCCTTTATTTATATTCCCCACAGGAATTGCTTAAACAGTGTGCATATATTTGTCGTATTTATTTGGTATACATTTTTACACTTGTTTACGTTTTTTTTTTTT